GTATTACTACATTTATTGAAGTACTGGGAATACTGCTTGAAAAGCTTTTTCTTGCTTGTTGTCCTGACGATGAAAGAGAAAAATCTTACTTTATCGCCACCATGAGGTTGACATTGTTGTTTATTAGTCACATCTTGACAGGTAAAGGGTGGGCTGACATGAAATTTTATTCAGATATTCATGTTGCCCAGAGGATGAATCTTCATTGAAACTGAGATTTATTTTGGCCTGCAGTTAATTACAAAGACAATAAAATAAGGACAATTACCACTACTACAATAATAATCAATAGCTACAGTATCATTCATCAATTATCATCATCATCATCATCACTATAATAAAGTTTCTGGAATCCAAAAAATCCAAAGGCTGATGCTTTGACTTATTATGTCTACCCTTGATAGAGTAAATAGTGCAGTAGTTTGCACCAACATTAACATCAGCTAAAAGCTTAATAGGATCCTGAACCCCAATTCCAAGGTGTCTGTTCAAACATTTTATAATTTGACATTACACCATGACATGACCTTTTCTCTAGTGTCATTATGACATTCACGTTTGTGGTTTTGAATGAAATGTCTCTAATATGTGATTAATTTCTATGAAATTAGGTGCACTCATTCATGAACTTCTTAGGATAAATTGTAATGATTAAATTTTATTTTTGTCCAGTACTTTTGGTTTATGACCAGATAAAATGTAATTATCAAATGTAAATGCTAACTAATGCTAAAATGCTCAAAATGGCTAATTGCCATTGTGAGGATGGTGGTCTTAAGAATGTAAAAAGGTCAGACTAGTAAATGTCAGCTTCTGAGATTATTTTTTTAACTAGAATAATGAATAATAGGACAGCACTCCAATAAAAAGATGATTTATTCTTACACAGCACAGGCCTTTTGGGCAGGTGCCGTTCCTCAGCAACAATACTGCATTTAAGCACACTTAAAAAAAAATCATGAGCTAAATAATCCCAGACTTCCATTTTCCCAGGTATAATCTGATCCTGGTTTTCCACTTCCAGGAGTCACTTAGGACTGGAGATTTTCCACACTCTTGCTCAGGATGGTAATGCTGGGCACATTAGGCTTCTCTGTTACAAACCCAATTCTCTGCCCTCTTACCACTGAATCCTGGGGCTGCCAATGGAAAGACATGCAGACAATACTCTTTGTTGCTTGCTCTGCTGCCCTCTCCCTTGTCCACCCCTTAATGTGTACATGCCTGCACATCCCAAACTGGTATCTGGTTTGGCACTTGGCTCTACTGAGCCTTTCAGAACAATTTAAATGGATAATCAGGCTTGTGATGTGAAGAAAGTGGATTGTGCATCTGTTAATCTCCGATTGGAGCCCCCTAAGCTGCTCCTGGTGCAGAATTAGACTGGCTTTATTTGAAATGACACCAGACAGTGTGCAGCACTTTAACACCCTGTGGGTTCCAGTAAAATGTTGCATCTCTTCCCAGGGGGAGAGGGCCTTTTCTTTCTGGACAGCTAACATAGTCTATACCACCCCCATAGGAGATTCGAATGCCATGTCTCCATTATCAGCACCCCTGGTGCAGATGTTAATTTGTGTTTGTCATTAACAAAGAGAGGCAATGTACACAAGCACAATGTTTGATACTGATCTTGCTTTATCTTCTTCCAAGTTGTTCAGCAGACACTAAACAATAACTGTGCTTCGCTTAAAGGTCACTGTCATGCTTGTGCTGCTCATACAAAGGTCAAGCTCATCTCATCCAACCTTCTTCTTTTGTGTTTGTCTCAAATCTCTGTTTTGGCTCCGTAATTCATGTCACAGCACATCAGGCTATATGATCCACTTGCATATATAGTTCTGTCCTGATTTGCCTCATACAGTGTAATGCCGTACAAAATCTACCTTTATCAGCAAATAGTATCCATAATGATGCTTTTCTCCTCAAAAGCATCCCTTCAGGGGTTTATGTGGAAACGTGGAAAAAGTTTCACAGTCTGTGCAATGTGTCTGACTGCACCGGACAAGTCGAGACCATGACAGGGCTGAAACATTTTCTGTCAGAAAGATTCTAATAATGTGCCAGTGTTTTCAGACTGCTGCATGATGATACAGATGAGACAGGGATCATAGATCTCAAGGCTGGTGTGGAGATTGACCCTGCTGCACAGGGGAAGTTGAAAAAGATGAATGAAGACTGTGATGATGGATGATCCCTCATTCTTTCCATACACAGCTGGAACTTTCTGTCCATGACTCATGACAGTTCTGTTTTATTAACTCTATAAACAATCTGTGTTTTGATTCACATGCTGCTGAACACACATTATTGTGAACTGAGAGGTTTTTTTTTAGTGGTATGAAGCTTAATATGACAGCAGAGGGCTCCAAGTAAATAGTTCCAATTGAAGGTGCTCATGATTTATTTTGCGGTGAGCCAGAGGCCAGAGCTGTGATGAATATAAACTTAGCTCTTTCTGAAAGGAGAACTGATTTTCTAGCTGTGAAACAAGCACTGAAAAGTGAAAGAGTGGTAGGGAGCAGGAAGAGAGAAAGGAAAGGTGGGAATGAAAACTATTAACTGCCTCTGCCACTGGAATTCATCAGTGCTTGTAAAGACAGCTGCCCTGAGTAGGCAATGAATTAGTTTCAAGTGTCTGTGTGCTAAAGCAAGCAAGGGGAACATTAATACTCCCTAATCAAGAGATGTGCTGGCACATTCCCTTCATTGTATCCCTTCTGTTATTCCATTCCCAACCAGGGACAGAGTCAGAGCTGAGAAAGACAGGGAAGGCAAACCTGGTTGGCTCTGCTGCTGGCTGTAGTTAGTTTTTGAGATTAGTAGAACTTCAGGTCTGTTATGATTCTTGTGTGGCAGGTCATGCTGTGATGTTTCCCATGTACTGTAATGTGAATTTGAGACAAAATATTTAATGAGAATGACTGAACATCCATCCATCCATCTTCATCCGGAACCGGGTCACGGGGGCAGTAGTCCGAGCAGAGCCCCCCAGACTTCCCTCTCCCCACACACCCCCTCTAGCTCCTCAGGAGGAACCCCAAGGTGTTCCCAGGCCAGCCGGGAGACATAGTTTCTCCAACGTGTTCTGGGCCTGCCCTGAGACCTTCTCCCGGAGGGACATGCCCGGGACACCACCTAAACAGGTGCCTGAGCCACCTCAGCTGGTTCCGCTCAATGTGGAGGAGCAGCGGTTCTACTCTGAGCTCCTCACGGGTGACTGAGCTCCGCACCCTATACCTAAGGGTGCGCCCAGCCACTCTCAGGAGGAAACTAATTTCTGCCACTTGTATCCGTGATCTCATTCTTTTGGTCATGATCCAAAGTTCATGGCCATAGGTGAGGGTAGGAACATAGATCGACTGGTAAATTGAGAGCTTTGTCTTATGACTCGGCTCCTTCTTCACCACAACGGACAGAGACCGCATTACTGTGGATGCCGCCCCAATCCATCTGTCAACTTGCCGCTCCATTTTTCCCTAACCTGTGAACAAGACTCCAAGATACAGTAGTTAAACTACACTTGAGGGAGCAACTCACCCCCAACCCGGAGAGAGAAATCCACCTTTTTCCAATTGGAGTGAATAGACTTGAATGACTGAACAGAGAGTGAGAAAAACCAGTTTCCCTTTCAGGGAAGCTGGTTTTCATTCTAAAGATGATGCATAATTATCTCCAGGGCTCACACTCCCTCTGAAATTGAAATGACATTGCGTACTGTATAAATACCAATTTACCCCTGTTTTTGGCCCCCAATGTCAATTATTTTCATGCCAGGATTGCTGGAGAAATGTTGAGGTCACATGAAGCAGATCTAAAAGTGTCACCTGGTAAAGAAAGTAGCGTTTGAGATCAAGCATTGTTGATGCGGACCTGGCTTCTTTTTATTTGATATTCAACAGGATTTCTAATAGCGATGGGGGTATAACATGATTTAGGACTTGCTGCTGTGCTTCCAAGCATTATACCAAGCCATGCTAACAGTTAAAATCATGTCACTTTTAGTAAGAGAGCCATGCTTTGACAAGGTTTTCAGTAACTTGACAGCAGCAGCCCAGCACCTCAGATAACACACTGTTTGGCCTTGTCTTCAGCCACATTTACTGTATGTACACCTGCAGTGTGGTCATTGTGATGATATGAATATACTGGCTTTCCAGAGAATAGCTTAATGCACTGTGCAGATGAAAACAACATCCAAGTAGGTGAAAAGTCCCATCTTGAAGAAGGCACATAAGCAAATTAAGTGTGACCAAAAGCTTTAATTTGAAAGGCAGAAGGATTAGGTTGTTTGATGAGCAGATTTAAGGGTGCAGGCAAGGAGAACAAAAAGAAACACTCCTGGCCAAGCGTAATAATCTTTGAAAATGTTCTTTAAACCCATTTCCCTGTGGCGTGTATTTTCTCTGCACTTCAACCCAACATCTTCCATTCCCAAGAATAAGGGTTTTCATTATGTATCCTCTCTCCCCTGTGATTGCCGCCTGATATTTTTGCTTTTGTCCTTCTGCACTAGCCATTTTCCTTCTTTCTCCTCAAAGTGGACTTTAACAGGTTTAGTAAATTTTACATCTTAATGCACTTACAGACAAGTGTATTAAATGGTAAATGGTCTTATACTTATATAGCGCTTTTCTATGCATTGCAGAACACTCAAAGTGCTTTCACACTACTTGGCCATTCACCCATTCACATTCACAAATGTTCACACATTCACACACCAGTGTTATCACCGGGAGCAACTGGGGTTTCACTGTCTTGCTCAAGGACACTTTGACATGTTGACTGGACAATCCAGGAATCGAACCGCTAATCCTCCATTTAGGAAATGACCCGCTGTACTTGTTAAGCCACAGCCGCCCCCACTCCTCCTATTACCCCTCCACTAAAACACAAAGTTGTCTGAGGGGTTCCTTCCGGCATGTTAGATAAGTCTCACCTTAGTGAATGCGTTGTGTTTATGGATTTCATGACTTTCCTCTTCCATCCTCCCTTTTTAGACTTTTCATACACCCAGCTTAGGAGACGAGGAGTTTGAGATTCCTCCCATTACACCTCCACCTGAAACGGAGCCTGGTCTGGGTCTGTCAGAAGTGGATTCACCTTTCCCACCACTGCCAGAGCCCCCAGCTCCACAAAGGGGTCCTTTAATCCCCCAGTTCCCCCCTCAGAGCCTGGATCTGCCCTCCATTACTATCTCACGCAACATGATGGACCAGGAAGGGCTGTCTGTAAACAATGGCCAACCTGTGGTGAGTACTGTTATGTACAGTATTTATAGCATTTGTAAATCAAGAACTCCATTTATTTACTGTGACTAGAGAAATGTTATCCTCATTCATCAACACACAGAATCCTGCACTAACAGCAACTTATAGCTGCAGATACAGATGTGGTGTCCAACGTAAAAGATATGATTTATAAGTATATGTTACTGGAGACTCTTGATATCATAAGCATACAGTCCTTAAATGAGCCCTTTTACTGAACCATAATGTCACCTTCACAGTTTTTGTATGCCTCCTGTTGTCAGCACATCTGGCACAGCATCTGGCCTTGTTTACAACACAGGAGGTATATGATAACACTGAGTAAATGTCATGATATTATGTTACTTACTGTGAGGATTTATTTTTAAAAAAGCACACAGAGCATGACCGATCAGTCTCTGTAAGGTGAACAGATGTGAATACATCACAGGTTTTAGAGTACAAAGCACATTCAGCCCCAGAAGACCAGTGAAAATGGGACCCAAAAGTGCCACAGTTTCACATGCTCATATTTAATTCATATTGCCTCCAGAAGCCTTTTTTTCCTGCTGTAAATGCTGATGCATGCTTCTGCCCAATGTCACATGAGGTCTTCAAAAAAATACATGCATTTTGTGGAGTTAAGGATCAGCTCTGTTTTTGTGTGGTAGCAAATTACACTATAGTGGTACTCTTAACAACATTTTAAACTTAATCTTCCTTTCCTCTTATACAGATGGCCAAACATGGAACAGTAGACAAAGTAATCACTCTATTTATGTTGCTACTGTTTTGTGCTATAGATTGTGAGATTGGTGGAAAGGCATTTTCAAATGTCACAATCATAGAAGCATTGAGGAGGAAAAATGGAAATGTCACTGGCTGACTAGTTGTCTTACAGACCTATTACAAAAATGGAAGATTCATTTAGAAGAAAAGAAATGAAAGGACAAAGGCATGAGCGGAGAAATGATGATATTGGTGCTGAATTTGCTTTGTGAATTGCAAAGCACAGAAGAGGTGCCATGATCATTATAATAGTGTCAATAAAGGAAACATGTTACAGACCCCCCACCTCTCCTTAAGACATTTGTTGAATCACACAGATATTACAGGTATTTATTTACATTCCATATGGGAGGGGGCAATAAAATTTTACAGCTCTTTTTTCTGCTTCCATGCTTCTGGCATGTAAAATAATTGCAGCCTTTAATATATCTCTACTGCATACAGTAAGTGAGCCCCAAAAGGCTTTTGCCTAAAGAATTTTCATTTCATGGTCAGTTAAGCCTTCTACATCTGGAAGGAACGGAACCTTGACACAATTACAGTTCTGACTGTTCTCACAACTTGCTGGAGGATTAGATTTGATTCTCAAACATTATTCCTCTTTAACACCATTTGCATGGCTCATGTCTCTGATTGTGCAGAGAGACTATTAAAAACTGAGAGGAGAATGTGGGTTTCTGCTCCTTGCCTTGTGGCATTGTCATCAGCACACTACCCACTTGTTATCAGTCAGCACACATTGTACCGCAGGAAGGCTTGTGGTGGTCCTACATTTTTCCTGTAAATGGGATTGATCCCCAAAAGCCTTGTGACAATGTCTATAGAAATTCTATTTATCTATGGTTTTATCTTCACCATAAAAAGAGAATGCAACTTTTAAATGAGATAAGTAACAGTGCTGTTCACGGTGCACTCTATATACAGAGCCAATGATTTACGAAGGCCCTAAGAGGGGTGTTTTGTCATTTTGTCAGCACACTGATAAAGGAATGACAACCTTATATACATGATTACATTCTGTGTTATTTGTTATGGCTGCAGGGACAAACAAACCATGCAGTATTGCAATTACATTTTTCATTAAGCCGCCATGCTCATATTTCCCAAACACTTGTCTTGGTTTTCTTCCTCTGTACTAGGTTACTGGTGGAGAATATTCAGTGTGTGTGAAAGCCTGTCTCTTATCAGAACTTAATGAGAAACCCATCCAGTGAATATACCTGGGCTATTTTCAAAAGGCCTCTTCCATGTCATTGCATTGCCAAGTGTTCTGCTAATTCCTTTCCCCATAATGTTCAGCGTATGTCTTGCAAATTGGCCACAGATGCCGGGCTTCTACAAAGAGAAATACATTTTCTCAGCTGCAATGTGCCTGGCAAGCCTTGAATCTGAAGTCATTATTTATTTAATCTGCTCTCCTAACAAGCTTCTGACTCTCATTTTTGTCTCCCAGCATGTGTCCTCCTGATTTGTGCTTGAGACTCAATAGTGCCAAATAGTACTGGAGTTAGAGCTGCCAGTATTGCTTTATTCACAATTTCTTCTCGATTTTCTCTGTGCTGCACAGCAAGGGTCTCTGGGTTCTATTTCAAAAAACACCTGGTGCCTTCACCACATTTTAGGTTTTTCTTGACACGTGTAAGCATGTACTGAAATGTGCTCTGTGTCCTCCATGATTAGATTCAGAAACCTACACTAGTCACCTAGTTGCATTAGATGCTCAAATCAATATTTAGAGGCTCTACGGCCTACTGTCTTGTTACATTTTCCACTATGTTGTGAGGCATCATATTTTCTTCATTGCCCAGCTAGCTGTTTCATATCATTAACTTTACAGCAGCAAAAATATGCTAATATTGAATCCAAAATATTGTGTTTAAACCACATGCATCATGTAAGATGAAAGCGAGATTTGTTGTTCACATGATTTGATATGCCTTGATATTGTGGAGCTTGCCTGTCCCTGTAATACTTTCAGTTTTGACTGGTCAAAAACCACTATATCAAATGGAAAATGTGAGCAGTGTTGCAGAAAGCATGTTTTTCTACACTTCCTTCTTATCTCCCTTCCAAACACTGACATGAGTTGTACATCAATTTAAGAGAGTGGATTTTTTTCCTCACTCCGATTCCTTTTTTTTTCTCTTCTCCCTCGACAGACAGCTATTGTGACATATTGGGTCAGTCAGAAATGAAAGATATTCATGCAGGCATGCAATACTTGTAATGAAGTCTCAGCTTGACCTTCTGCATGATTGATTCTGTAATTTACTTTTCTCAGGCAGCTCTCAAAATGGAATGATGTCATGTTGGACAATTTTTAAGTACCCATAATGCACCAGAAAAAATGGTGGAAAGAGGTATGGGTCAGTGGTTGGAGGGAAGGTGTGGGGTGGGGAATGGCTTTGTTTTTAAGTGGGGGTTAGAGGTTGGGGAGATAGACAGACTGAGTTTGTACACTGCAGAGAGAAGGAAAGAGAAGTGTGTCTGACTCAGAAAGGGCAGGGGAAAGAAAAACAATTTATCTTCATGCTATTATAGCCTTTACCAGCATTCAAAATTCCATTTTTCTCAT